TCCATTTATTAAATATTCGAAAGTTTTGGGTCGGTTCGGGTATCTTCAGAACCGAACCAACCCACGGATAGCCCTAACTAACCAGATGCCAGAACTCCCAACTAAGGGTGTAAATTTAACTCACCGACTCTGGAGACCCGGGAAAAGCCCAAACCAGCCCGGCTTGTGGGTCAGAAAAACAGAGTCGATGCTCAGGCCAAGCCCCATTTTGGGTCATTGGCTCAAGCCCAAGCCAACCCGTATGGCTAGTCGAGCCACGGCCATTCTTAACCCATAATAGGGCAAAAATTAAAAAGAAAATTTAATGAAAAAGATAGAACTACTGCCTTGTGCAAGTGCTACATGTTAAGGCAGCTAGCCTATTAAGACAATAGTAGTTGCTTTGACATGTATTCAAAATTTCAAATTTCAAAAAAAATAATAATAATAACGAATTTAAAAAAAAAAAGAGTTAGCCGGCTCGACTTGCTAAGGCTCGAGCAAAAAATTCATATCAAACATAAATTTTTTGATCAAGCAAAAGCTCGACTCATACCAAAAACAATCCAAACTATTTTTACTCGAATCGAGCTCGATTTTTGAGTTTCAGCTTATGAGTCGACTCGATTGGGCTCATTGACATGCCTACTCCCAAGTGGGGTACTTTAAATTTTCAACAATTTCATATTTTCACAATGGCCTTTTAAACAGTAAAAGACAAAAATGCCCTTCAATAAACAATAAAATTATAAAATATTATTTTATCTAAGAGAAAATATTACAATTTTAGTTAACATGTAAAAACCAAACACTTCCCAATTAAAATTGCAAAATTGGCTAAATTTTCTTATCTGTTTATTCCAACATATATAAAAAATCTCTCATTTTTCATCTACTTCAACCTCAAAATCTCAGAACTTGATCAAATACTGAACAAGAAATTTTTTGTACATCTATCACTTCGAATCGGTAAGTATATTTATGTATATTTAATTTCGTTTTCGTTAAATTAATATACGTTTTTAATCGATAAATCTTATTTCGACATAGATTAACATGTAAATATTTTTTTGTAACAGATCTATAAGTTTTTTAAGCATAAATAAGAAAAAAATTTCATTTGCATATCATGGTCGTAACAACCATTTGTTAAGCTACATTTTTAACTACTAACAATCCAGTGATTGGACCTATTTTTTGACTATTTTTTTACAATTAAAAATTGTATTTCGTCATGCAGATATGGTTGTAGTTTCAGTTTGTTATCTTGGTGATTTTGAATTTGATGAAAAAGATCAATGTATATGAAAATGGACGAGTGATATACGTGGTGGTATTCCAATTTTCATAACATCGAGCACATCATATGTGGAAATGTACCATGATTTACAAACCAAGTTGAAAATCGATCTCTCTCAGGACAATATGGAACTGAAATTTCAATTCAAGAAGCATTCATTCATTCTGATTCCACATATGAAGGTTGCTTCTAATGCTGAACTGAATTATCGAATTATCTATTTGAATTGAACAAAATGCACACATTACTTTTTGCGCGACTTTAGTGAGGAAGAATGTCACCGAAGGTGAACACGAAGATTTGGATGAAGAGGATCACAATGTCAATGATTTTTGGGACGCTATGGAGATAGCTCCGTGAGGATGATGTGGTTATTCTCGAGACAGTTGTTCATCATCGTGATTTCTCTGTTACACAGAATTTCATCGGTAGTTCACGATAATGAATTTACAATGAAGATTTGATTGCTTTATCCCGTCGAGACATGAGTGGGTCAGGAGTGCAGGGGCTGGATCGAATGGATCATCATCTAATTATTCGCATATGGTTCTTGATGATGAGAATTTATATGTCGAGCAACTTTTTGAAACAAAGAAAGATTTGCAGGAAGCTGTGCACCAAATTGCACTAAAATATAACTTTGAGTTCAAAGTGAAGAAATCAAAAAAGTTATTGTTGACGACGATTGTCTGCGTCGACATAGTTGCCGTTGGCTTTTAAGAGGGACGAAGATGGACACGAATGAGTTATTTGTAGTTTGCAAGTATACACGAGAACATACTTACGGAGTGGAAATTTATCGAAATGATCACAGGCAAGTCCGAGCATCGTTTATTACTCAGTAGATAATACACAAGTATCAGGACTCACGGATGATCTACAAACTTTCGGACATCATTAAAGAAGTCAGCCAAAAGTACGGAGTGGTCATGGGTTACCAAAAGGCTTGGGAAGCCAAAGAATGCACATTGGATGACTTTATAGGCTCGGCTGAGGAGAGCTATACTAAATTAGTCAAGTATTGCCATAACATGGGTACAATTAATCTTGACTCTACATTTTTTATTGAGACGGAGGGCAAGAATTGTTTTTTCTTCATGACTCTTGGACAATGCATTTGGAGATTTCGAAATGCGATGTGACCTCTAATTTTAGTCGATGGTACAACTCTAAAAGTTAAATACGAAGACAAGTTAGTTATTGCTATGTCTCAAGATGTTAACATCCAAATTTATCCTCTTGCATTCAGCATAGTCGATAGCGAGAATGATCTGTCAATGCGTTGGTTCTTTACAAAGCTGAGGGAAGTAATCGGAAAAGTTTAGGACCTCGCCTTTATAATTGATCGGGGACCATATATAATAAATGGTATCGCTGAAACTTTTCTCAAGGCACATAATGAGTATTACATGTACTATATACCAGGCAACATAAAGACTGGGTATCAGAACAAAGACATTATTTCATTGTTTAGGAGAGCGGTCGAAACTTATAGTGTTGAAAAATGCAATAAATTCATGGAGAAAATAGGAAATAAATCAATCCCGGCATGGGCGTATCTAACAAAAATGAGAATTGAACATTGGGCGATCACATTTCCTAGGACGTCGATACACTATGATGATGTCAAATAATGCAGAGTCTCTCAATGCATTATTCAAGAAGGATAGAGAGTTATCAATCCTCGCAATAACTGAGAACATTCATAACAAGCCACAACAGTGATTTCACGACCGACGTGCAGAATCGCAAAATTACATGAGCGTGCTAGCCCCTACCCAAGAGGATACTCTTCAAAGCTAAAGAGGTTGCGAGAAAGTTGAATGTGGAACCACTAGATGAGTTGCTTCTCCCTAAAATGTGCACGTAATATGACATACATGGTGAACTTGACTGATAACACTTGCACCTATAGTAGAAGCATCGTCTCATGTCCCTGATTGTGCTGATCAACTACATAGAAGCACCTTCCTCTGTCCCTAAAAATACGTCTCGTGCAACCTATTACTTCTTTAAGTAACATCAGTAGCTGTCTCATTGTCCGTTATCTTCAATCCAGTCACAAGGGCAAACTCAAACATGGAGAAAATAGTGACATTGCCCCCAACATCAAAGTGAAGGGCATCATCGTCAATTAGCCTAAGCAACCGATATAGTAATACATCAATAATCTGTCTGGAGTACTGTACCTCTTTCAACTGATAAAAGGACCACAGAAAGGACTAGCGTATGATATATGCATGCTAATCATCCAACAACTCCAACATAATAGTAAAACTATCAAAGCTATTGTTCCACGTACATTTTCCCGCCATCTATCTCAAATATTAAAACCTTCAACAAAAGATAATGGAATAATCATAATTTCAAAAAATTAAGCAAATCGAATTAAGATAGACATAAAAAAATAAATTATAGAAAATTCAGAATTTAAAATAATTTTAAATTGAAAAAAATTATTGAAAATATGAAAAAAAATTATTAGGAAATTTTAAAATTATTTCCAAAAAAAAATTATAATAACAACAAAAAACAAATAAACAAAAGGTATGAAAATTAAACAAAGTTATAAATATTATTTGTTTAAAATTGAAAAAACTAAATTAACAAACAATATAAATATTATATAATTTGAATAAAAAATTAAATTTTATCATAAAAATTAAAAATAATTTTAAATTGAAAATAAAATGAAAAAAAAATGCTGTTGAGACAACTAAATAGTCGGCCCAAACGACCGATTATTAACAATTGGAAAAAATAATTTTAAATCAAAACAATAAACAATTAAGAAATGTTAAAGCTATTTAAAAAATATAATAAAAATAAATTAAATTAAAAAAATTAAATTATGAAAATTAAATAAAGAATATAAATATTATTTAATTAAAATTAGAAAATTAAATTTTATCATAAGAATAAAAGAATTAAAAATAATTTTAAATTGAAAAGAAAATCAAAAGAGGCTAGTCAACCCAAACCGATGATTGTTAATAGTAGAAAAAATAATAATTTTGAACAAAAAAAAAATTAAGAAATTTTAAAACTATTTAAAAAAAGTGATAATAAAACATAAATTAAATTATGAAAATTAAATAAATAATATAAATATTATTTAATTAAAACTTAAAAAAATATCAAAAATATAAATATTATAGAATTAAAATTAAGAAAATTAAATTTTATCATAAAAAGAAAAGAATTAAAAATAATTTTAAATTGACAACAGTCAACTCAAATGGCCGATCGTTAAAAGTCGGCACAGTCGACCTTTGGACTGACTGTTTGAGACAACTATTAACAGTCAGCCTAAAAGGTGGACGGTTAACAGATCGATTGTCGATTGAACCAACTCTGATTTACAGTCGGCCAGATCCAACCGTTTCTCGCTGAAAATGGCGAGAAATTATCATTTTCGACGAGATTAAGATTCAAAAACATCAAATATATGTATTATAAACAATAATCTACTTAAATGATGAAAAATAAATATTATTCATAACAATTTAAAACACAATAAATGAAAAATTAATATATTAATCCAAAAAAGAAAAAAAAAAACTAATCGCTGTGATGCTTCTTCGATTCGATCCCTAATTTGAAATTTCTTTTTCCTTCCTCTCAACCAGTTTGTAGAAGAAAAGGTATTTTGGGGTTCCGATGTTTAACTTGGCCTTTTATGTATATTTTAACTATTTTTTCCCAGTGGTAAAAGTCTAGGATGGATTCTTGTATTTCCTCCTCCGAAGCAGCCCCAAGGTTTTCTTCCTCGGTATTACGCTAAAAATTGGAACAGTATAGTGTGAAGGAGAGGCAAAAGGGGGACATACCCATCACCCCTTTGGCACCAATTTATCTGGTGCTGCAGTGATTTCTACTAAGCTTCTTCATCACCAAACTTGGAAGGTATTATCGGATTTTATTTTATTATTGTAGAAAGGGCTTTGTATGTTGAAATCGCACTAGATGTGATTGTTGTTAATGATTTAATTTCAACTCAACTCCTCTTAATTTTTATTTTTATTTTTCCAATAATGTTTTTTCTGGATGGTAATCTTCCTCTACCAACAGTGGTTTTTTCAACAACACTTCTCTTGAATTTTTAATGCGGTTGATTATGGTTTTCTCCTTGCCTTAAAAACTGGCTGCCCCTCAAGTGTAATAGGTGAAATACCCAGGACAAATGGGTGCTAAAAAATGGATTTCTTAAGAATTTTTCATTACTGTTCTATAGTAACGCATAAATTACGTGCTTTAATAGTCTGCAGTTTTGTGGGTTCTATTTTTTATGGCTATTTATCTTTATAACAATAAATTCGGACGATTGACAGTTTGTTGTCAAATTTGTTGATGGGATTGACTGCCATTTGTTAGAATATGTGAGGGTTTTTGTTTTAGTTTTTTTCTGGTCCTTATTCTTGAGCAATTTGTGTGCCATTCGAGTTTACATTGTGCTTCTCTTTAATATTGTAATTGATGCAAGATTTTGTTTCTTCCAGTTGTACTGAAATCGATTTACTTATTTATTATTTTTGTGTGTCTGTATTTTCAGAGAAATGAGTAGAGAGGAAAGCCCGCATGTTAACAGAAGAACCACAAGATCATCCTCTTCTACTACCCCAAATTCTAAAACTGCAGTCGAGGTTTCAAAAATCATTAGTAATACACA